AACATATTAACAAAGTGTTCTATTTAATTATTTTGAAATTTTGTGACATTACTTGTTTCTCAAATCCCTAAAAGATTTTTCTGGAACTTAAACTGTTTATATGGACAAATGGATAAATAGATAGGAAGGGCAGTATTGTGGGAGGAGAGTATATATAAATAGACATTAAACCCACCAGCCACTCCTTGGAAAGAAGATTGGGCAGTCGATTTCCATAGAGATACTGCCTCAGAAACCCAAAGAGGGGTCGCTATGAGTCAGATCCGACTTGATGGCAGTGAGTTTGGTTTTTTTGGTTTGATATATCTATGTTATTTAAACATGCTATAAAGTACTTCTGTTAGACATATCTGTATACATATCTATGTATACACCTTTGAATAGTTCTGTGTAACTGTACTACACACATATATTGTGTGTGTGATTGGTGTTATCTAAAAATATTAATAGATTTTTTACTATGGCTACAAACTATTTACCTATAATGAAGAAACCCTTTTTATTTGTCATTCCTCAACAATGCTAGGATTATGTTTCAACCAATGTAAAAGTAAGTCATAAGAATCATACACACAGCAAGTCAAAGGAGCATTGTTGAATTCATTTGGCAGTCAGCTGCATATTATATCCCCCCACATGGTATATTAAAGGCTCTGAGGACTCCTAAAGTACAGAATCCTGTTTAACTTGTGTAAACCAACATTTTCATATTTGCTTACAGAATAACTTTTTCTCAATTTATTTATAAGCCTTTCAAGGACCAAAATTCCATGGTACACACCAAAAACACAAGAAAATATTTTAATAGAAAAAATAATTCCATGGTAATCATTTTAGAAATGGTACTCTACAAGAAAATTAAAAAAAAAAAAAATCACTGCCGTCGAGTCAGACCTGACTCATAGCGACCCCTCCTTGGGTTTCCGAGGTGATATCACTATGGCACTAGATTGCCCAACCTTCCTTCCAAGGAGAGGCCAGTGGATTTGAACTGCCAGCCTTCTGGTTAGCAGTCAAATGCCTTAGGCGCTGTGCTACCAGAGCTCCCAGAAGAAAATTAGAAAGAGTATAATAATTCTAGAACTCCCTAATTATTTTATAAACATAACGTAGTAAGAATACACAGGGGGAAAAAAAAAAATTTCACTCATGTAACAGAAGACATATTAGCCCAGAGAACCAATAACATCTAGACTAGCAATTAAAATTACTTTTGTTTTTTAATGATAAGGAAAGAGATCAGGATGCTGGTTGTATGCTATTGTGTGTGTACGTTCCCTGGTCAAAGAATGAACATGATTTTCCTAAGTAGATAAAATATACAACCAACTGTCCATGGATTAGTTGCAGGTTTTGTGAATTATTACATGATCCCTGATTGTTTCTTAAAGATTTTTTCATAAATTTGAGAAGCTTGCATGATTATTTTGTTTTCACTTACTGCAAGATGACTCAAGGTTTTCTAAACTAGAGCCACATCTTAAATTCCTTTGCATTCCTTGATCCTCTCAATCTATACATACTTTCTCATTCTGAACAGGGAGGGACGGACAATATAATGGGAGATTCTGACCTATTATTTTGGCAATAGCTATTCCTTTTATAGCACATAATTTTTGTATACCTCCAAGACTATTAAAATGTAATTCTTAGAAATGGTGTTTTGATGCCACAAAGATATGTGTACTGAACAGGTGTTTGTTTGGGGTTGCACTTCACTATTTGCTTGTATTTCAAAGGAGAGGCAATTAATTACACAGACTGGTATCAGATTCAGAAAGTGAGACACTAAATGATTTTTAAAGAATGCACCCAGCTTCCCATGACAGGGACTCATTTTTGTGGTCTCTCGGGCTGTACATATTCAAATCTTAGAGAAACCAAATCCCTGTTTGGAAAAGATATTTATTTTTTTCCTTTCCTTGCTGAGGTCATTACTGTTGCTATGGTGAAGTGAATGTTGCATGATACTGCTGTAAAAGTCAACACTGATGTTTTCCTGTACAGCAGATAGTCCACCTCATAGCCTGTTTTTCATTCATGTAAGCCTGCTGAGAATTGTCAGAGTTAATACAAATGGGGAAAATAGCTACTTTGGTACATAAAAGCCTTGTGAAGGTGTAGCTAAACAACTCCTTCCTAATAATAGTAAGGAGAATGAAATACGTAGTATTCCATGTGAACTGAGGAAGAAAACATGTTTTGTAAGCTCTTGGATATTATTTATATTACTTGGGATTTTTTCTTGGATATGTCCATTCCACTGTTTTAAAATCTATTTTTATTACTGAGCCACTCAATTGTATAGCCCTGCTCTATTCACATCTGAGCCCTTGGAAGAGATTAGTGCTGATTTCATTTTTTATCAGCCCCAAAGCTTTCTTTTTTCCCCAGCCATAGATGACCAGTTGCCAAGTCTCATATCAGGAATAAATTCATGAGTTTTTAGCATTAACATAGGATTCTAGATTCATCTGACCATGAGAAAGGGGACAATTTGCAAAAAGCAAGTGTCCAGACTCTTGGTGTGAAGTGGACAAAGCTATTTTAAAAGACTTGTAAATAATATAGGATATGTCTTTTGAAATAGGATGAATTTTATTGTTACCAAGTAAATAATTAAGATTTTCCATGCACCAAGTATTCTTGCCCAATTTATGAATTTTAACAAATGGAATAAAGTCTAAGGAATAAAAGAATTAAGAAAAGAAAAGAAAATATCTCTTAGTTACTTAAAATGCCCATTTCTGGTATTTGGTGATGTCCATGGAGTGGGTGCAAACTGATACTCCATTATTAAGTGGAAGTGTACCTTTGACAGTGTGCTTTTAGTGTGGAAATCCCTTGAGGGTTTTAGTGGAAGGTGTAAAATAAATGCATATTTCCATCTTTGAATCCACTGCTGGCAGATTTTCTGGTTGCATTTTCCTTGTATAAAGAGTGTGTTTTATGTGAATGGCTGATATGTTGTGTCTACATTATTTTTATTTTTATTTTTTGGCCTGCAGTGGCACATCTAGTGATGAAATGTGCAACTTATACATTATGTATTACATGGAAGCCAAGCATGCAGTTTCATTCATGACCTGTACACAGAATGTAGCCCCAGACATGTTCAGAACCATACCAGCAGAGGCCAATATTCCAATTCCTGTGAAGTCTGATATGGTTATGATGCATGGCCATCACAAAGGTAAAACTGGTGTTTAATTTAAACTAACTTAGTATTCTGTGTTTCATATTTACTTATGTATTATACTTGAGTATATAAGTAATATTTCAATCATCTTTCTTTCCTTCTATCAAACAATCACATGTACACACATGCTCTTACTCTCTTTTTTCTCTTCCTCATATCTTATCTTCCCTTTCTAGTCTACTGCCATTGAAATAGTGAACAAGAAAAATCTCAACTGATGATGGAAAGGATTAGTTTTGGGATCAACCTCATAACTGTAGGATTTTCTTCATTTAATTCATATTTTCAAGTTTCCCTGTGTCATTCCTCCCATAACTGGTAGCGATTTATGCAGTCTGTGAATTTATGCACCACATTCTAAAGAGTGTTACTATTTGCCAAGAAAAATGGTTATCATTTCTAGCCATTCTTTTAAATTATCTATTTAATGGGCTTTTTCAAGCAAAACACAATTGCTGATTTATGACGTTTTTCTAGTTTTGGCCTTTGTGGTCTCACTCTCAGAATTGTTCTTTAAATTATTGTTCATCTACAAAATGGTCATATAGACTGTTCTTTCTTTAAAGTTGCAAAACCCATACTTTATTTTATTGGATAAAGTATACTGGGACTTTGCAACTTCTTATAAGTTCAATCTTAAAACACTAAAGTAGCCCCTTATTTCTTTCCAGTGGAGATTTTATGAGAGAAGTTAGCATAGCAGGCAACTCATCTGTTAAGATCCTAATACATTCATAGAATATAACTTAAAATGTTTTTAAAATATCCTTAAATGTTATTAAATTCAGTTTTTTAAAAAAAAGTAATTATCAGTAGTTCATGCTTTTTAAAAATATGTTACTCAAAAGGTATTTGGCCTAGTTATTAAGTCAGAAATCTGGTAAATGGTGGTTATGCTGAGTTGTGTGTTTGCGTGTGTGTGAATTACAGTATTTCTAGCGTATAAATTCTTTAAACTGGTTTTTTTTTTTTATGAAATACAAGATCCCAAATAATATTTTTATGTTGGTGGCATATTTCCAGTTAGCTATTTTAAAGTGTATAGTATTTACTTCAAATTTATCCTCAGCTTCTTTGATCCTTTACAGAAACGGAAAACAAAGATAAGCCTTCTTTACTGCAGCAACCAAAACGGGAAGAGGAAGAAGTGTTAGACCAGGGTATGTATGGTTATTTCTGTATCTAGGCCTATAAAATTATTCATTATTCAAATAGGTATCCAAATTGTAAAATTACAGAGATATTTTAGGTCTCTCTTTCTGAGCTCCCAACACTATAAATTGCTATAATTTTATATAATACATAATTCATAAGGAAATGGTCAATTACTGCACTTTAGCCTTGAGAGTAAAATTTGTTAGTATAATTTAATCCTCTAAGATTTTTTTCTGTCCTTGTTTTAGTTCATTTCATATTGTAACTTTTATGTATAGTACAAGTAAGTACAAATATAATCATTAGAAACTTTCAGTGGGCTGTTTTTTGAACACTAATGACTTCTGCCATTTAAATTTTTGTATGTTTATATGGTTTGTTTATTAATTATATTTGAAGTTCAAGAAAAAAGAAATTAGGAATTAAACCCACATCTTGCCTCTGTAAGTCATTCTTCTCTGTCTTCGGTAAGGTAGGAGGGATTATTGTCTTACACATTGTGGTTTTGTATTAAGTTTCCATCTGATGAGTTAAGAAAGCATCATTCTTACCCTATTCTGTTTATTTGAAATGGTAATGTTTGATGCCTGTGTGTCATATACTGCATGTACTGGCACTGAAAAATTATTCTCCTAAATCTTAGTTTCTTGCCAGTTGTTTGGAAGATGGTGCTTTGTGTTAGGTGTTGGGGAATGTGATTTTATCAAATCATTTTTTACTTAGATATGATATATTTTAAACCATTAGTTTAATGTTAATGCAGATACACTTCTACTGACCACAGAAAGAATTCAGGAAATAAATAGGACAATTGTATTAGCAACATATAGAATTTTCAGATTCTTTGGACATTGTAAATTACGATTAATAATTCTCCAACATATCTCATAGTAGAGCAAGGCCAAAAATACCACTCTTGCACTAATAGTTTTTTGCAGAATTAAAGACTTCGAACTTCTCTAGTGGAACACGTATACCAAGCCTTTACTACTTGGAGATCAGAAGAACTAGATGGTGTTTGGCTACTGCTACCAAACACTCTGATTAGGAAAACAGTGGAAAGTCCTGGACAGAGAAGAAGAGAAAGAAATGTAAAAAAAAATTCACAAATATAAAAAAGACCAGACTTACTGGTCTGATAGGAGCTCTAGTTGCATACTGCCTAAGGCATTTGACTGCTAACCAGAAGGCTAGTGGTTTATATCCACCAGCCACTCCTCTGAAGGAAGGTGATACTGCTTCAGAAACCCAAGGAGGGGTCACTATGAATTGGATGGGACTCGATGGCAGTGAGTAAGTTACTGGTCTGAGGGAGATTAGTGAAACCCCTAAGACTATGACCCATAGACAGCCTTCAAGCCTTAAATTGAATTTACCTCTGGGGATCAGCCAAACAATAGGACTATAAAGTGAATAATAGGACCAGGGAGCAAAGTACGGTACAATCTACCATATAAGGTACAATCTACCATATAAGACCAAAAGAGCATCATTTGCCCAAAAACAAAGTCCAGAAAGTAGAAAGGTGCAGGAAAGAAGGATGGATGGAAACAGGGGATCCAGGGAACAAATGGTAAGAGTGCTGTTACACTGAGGGGATTGCAACCAATATCGTGAAACAAACGTGAATAAATTGTTAAATGAAACACTAATTTGATTTGTAAAATTTCACCCAAACTACAATTGGGGAAAAAAAAAAAAAAGGGAAGAAACAAATGAACAAAACCAAAGAAAAAGAATATAGGTTTTTAAAAAGGGAAAAATGAACCCTGAAGAAAGTAGGTAAACTATAAAGATTTTTAAATTATACAGTATGTTCTTTAACATCTCATTCTAACAAAGTAGCCCTTAACAAAATGCAACTTAGCTCAAAGTTGTTACCATTTTTATGTTTAGTCAAAACTAGGATGATATTATAATATTAATTGACTATTGAATATGACTTAGAAGAGCTTAGTTTATTAATCTTATGTATACATTGGAATTAATAAACTAAGCATTTTTAAGTCATATTCAGTAGCCAATTAGTATAATATCATTTGTAAGAAAATCAGTAATAACACCCTAAATTGTAGCGTTAAAAGTGTTTAATAAAATTATACTGAAATTTAATGAGACATAAAGTTTTTGACATTATATTTATTATTTGTCTTGTATGTCTTAGAAATAATTTGAGTTATCTTAGAATACATTTGCAAGTACTAATGTATATGATACAGTATGAAATAAGATCACCATTTAGTAAATGCATCTTATAAAACTGTATATTTCTGGGTTCCAGTAAGATAGCAGAATAGGCAGAAAAACTCAACACACCCTCTTCAATAAAGAAAAGAGGACCCAATTAACACAGATACGGAAGATAATCCTGGACCCCTGAGCTTTGAAGGGAAGAATATAGAAGTGGACTAAACTCCCAACTAGCAGAAGAATTTGCATAAAACCACCAAAAAAGCAGACATACGGAGCTGCAGTCTGGCAGCGATCCTGATGGCACAGACAGCTTGGATATTGCTGAGTGGTGGTAGGACCTAAAAATTAACCTAAAAATCAGCCCTGCTAGCCATGGACTGCATGGAGCACAGGTCTGGTGGCTGGGGAATAAAAGGAGAAGCAGCGAAGAGGAAGGCGGGCTGAGCTGTGGACTTCTGCCTGTCCAGAGGGCTCAGCCATTTTGAGTGTTTACAAGTGGATAAAATCCATTTTGGATATTTAAAGCAACAGCATTCTTCCAGATTCCAGGGAGTTAGGAACAGGCTCCACTTGCTGGGAACCACAAAGGCATTCCAGACGTGGACAACCGGAAAGGTTTGACATTCCCCTTGTTACTCTTATGCCCTACACCCTCTTGGTGAAGGGAGGTGTCCATCCCTCACTCCAGCCTACCTTCTAGGCCAGCAAGAATTCCATTCCAGTCTGTATGCTCAGATGGAGCCTGGGTGCCCCGCCCTGCCATGCCCTGATTTGTTTTTTTATTTTTCCTTTTTTTTAGTTTGTTTGTTTTGTCTGTTTTAAAATTAGTACTAATATTGTTACTTTAGGAGCTCTGGTAGCATAGTGCCTAAGCACTTGACTGCTAACCAGAAGACTGGTGGTTCAAACCCACCAGCCACTCCTCAGAAGGAAGGTTGGGCATTCCTACTTCCATAGTGATACTGCCTCGGAAACCCAAGGAGGGGTCACTATGAGTCGGGGCCGACTCAATGGCAAATAACAACAACATGTTACTTTTGTCCCTTTTATTACTATTCTTTATTCTTTCCTTCCCAGGTTCTAGTTTTCAGCGTTTTTTCTTTTCCCTGTTGCTGGTTCCAATTTTCTTTTCTTTCTCATGGTTAACCCTGTTCCTTGTTTTTCTTTTTGTGTTTTTCCCAAGTTTTTTTCATTATTCTCCTTCTCTACCTTCTTTCTCTTATTACTCCCTCCCCAGATATTGCAGTGTTTTTTGTTTTAATTTGTTTCCCTTTTCTCTTTTTTTGGTTACTGTGCCTGTGTGATTACACAGTATGTTTTTTGCCCATTTGCTTTTACTTTTTTGATGGTTATTCAATTGTTATTTTTGTCTAACTGAGTGGAAGAGAGCAACAGTCCTCGTATGACACAACTACATCCACACCTCCTGCAGCTTCACTTACTGAGTGAGAGTCATCACCTCCTTCTCCACCAGTGGGCCAACGATAAACAAACACCAAGAACTGCCTGACTCACTCTTAGCCGCTCTTCACAATTAACAGAGAACTAAATGCAACAACATCACAATGTCTCAGAGACAACAGACCATCACAGTCCACACAAAGAAGCAACATAAAGTGGTAGAAACAAAGGAACAGGATACAGACCCAAAACACATCCCTGAGGAAGAAGCAGCATTGGAACTCCCTGATAAGGAATTCAAAAGAATTATATTTAGGTATCTTCAAAGGATTGAGACAGACCAAGGAAAACACAGACAAAACCCTTGA